TGGCTCAAGTGGTAGAGCGCTAGCCTTGACCTGAAGAGCTGAGGGACAGCGCCCAGGCCCAGAGTTCAGGCCCCACGACCAGACCCCCCCAAAAAAAACCCAAACATTTTAAATTTCCATGCACACATCATGTAGCTCAATGTTTCCCTGTTCTTTCTTTTTTTTTCTCTCCCAATATTGGAACTTGAGCTCATGGCTTCTTGCTGTTCCTTAGCTTTTATGTTCAAGGCTGATTCTCTATGACTTGAACCACGCCTCCACTTCCAGCTTTCTTTTGCTGGTTAATTATAGAGAGGAGCTTCATGGATTTTTTTCCCCCCACCCCTGGACTGACTTTAAACCTTGGTCCTCACATCTCAGCCTCTTGAGTGGCTACGTTTATAGGTATGAACAATCAGTGCCCAGCCTTCCCTATTTTTCATTTCGTAAAAATCTGCATCCTGGGCTGAGAATGTAGCTTAATGGTAGAGTGCTTGCCTAGCATGCATGATGCCCTGGGTTCAATTCTTCAGTACCACCTAAATGGAAAAGGCCAGAAGTAGCACTGTGGCTCAAGTGGTAGAGTGCTAGCCTTGAGTAAAAGAAGCTCAGGGACAGTGCCCACGCCCTGAGCTCAAGCCCCAGGACTGGCAAAAAAAAATTCTGTATCTTCATCTTGGGAAGGGAGAAGTTCCCACAAAATGAAATTTACTATGTTGCACCTTCATAGAGTGAAGACTGTGAGAGAGGGTTTGGCTGACACGCTTGAGGGACAGTGGGAGCAATAGCATGGCTCAGACGCATTGTATTCCTCAGTTGATATTTGAATTGGAACTCCTTTGTACAACTACTTAAAGATAATAAAAAAAAATCTGTCCCCCCCAACATAAAAGGTATCCTAAAAGTCAGATCAAAATGAGTGTGATTAACTGAAGTGATAAGGGAAAATGGAGCTGTTGAAAGGTGGCATCTTTGTTGGAAGTTGGCTGCTGTTGTGGGAAAATGAATCGAGCATCTGCAGAACAGTCTGGAGGCTTTTCCTCCATAGGGGTCTTGCTGGACCTGTGGACACCAACCGTCTATTATATTAACTCCGGTCCTCTGGGGACCATGTAGTCTAACAGTCCTCCACTTTACGTCTTCTTGAGAAGGGCAGATGGGGAATCCAAGAGTGCTCCAAGTTGTCTAACCGTAGCCAGGCGCCTCCCCACCCTGCTCAACTCCCACCTGCACAAGGCAAGTGCGAGGCACACACGGGTAAAGTGAGGTCACTATACATCCTGGTGTGAGCGGAACACTCGGAGCCACTGCGCATGTGTTTCTCCGAGGATTGGTACAGGATCCTTGTGTGGTGGCAAGCAACTCTCAAGTCTGGGCCAGTGGTCTATCCTGCTAGTCCCTCACCCCTCCCAAGCATGGCTCTCCAGGGTCATTTTTTTCCCTCTTCTCATCAGAATTACTTGGGATGAAGTGGGAAAGGAAAGGTAATGAGTAAGAGAATGCTTTTCACAGATATCTTTGTGTTCTCCAAATGTAGAGCCTCTTTTCCTGAGCCTCTTCCTCTCTGCCCATGGCACAGAAAGCCCTAGATCTAAACTCCTTGTCTAGAAAATTCAAGAGCCTAAAGTGCAACTCCAGGGCCAGGAGGTTGATCAGGAGCGATGCTAGCCACAGCCTCAGAGCTCAATGCATGTGTATGTAACCAAATATATTGATGAAAGCGTATTCACCGGGGAGGATTCCGATGGGGTAAATCCTGTGAGCTTACAGTTTAACAAAACCAACACCAGGAAGCTGGAACATGTGATGTGGGAGGAGTTCAAAGGGGGCAGATGAATGGAGAGAGGATAGTGGGCAAATGCAGTTATAATACTCAGTGCAGGGGCTGAGAAGGTAACTCAGTGGTAGAGTCCTTGTCTTGCATGCATGAGGCCCTGGGTTTGATTCATCAGCACCACATAAACAGAAAAAGCCAGAAGTGGTGCTGTGGCTCAAGCGGTGGAGCGCTCGCCTTGAGCTGAAGAGCGCAAGGACAGCACCCAGGCCCAGAGTTCAGGCCCCATGATCAACACCCCCCCCAAAAACAAAACAAAACAACAAAAACAACTCAATGCACATGGTGAAAATGGAGCCGGGGAGGGGTGGGGATGGGGGCGAATGATGGAAGGGGTGACACCGATGCAGTGTACTCGAACTACTATATTGACATCCCCTTAGTGCAACTACTTACAAAGATAATTTTTTTGTTGTTGTTGGTCATGGGGCTTGAACTCTGGGCTTGGGTGCTGTCCTTGTGCTCTTTAGCTCAAGGCAAGTGCTCTACCGCTTGAACCACAGCACCACTTCCAGAGCTCAGCCTCTTGAGTAGCTAGGATTACAGGTATGAGCCACCAGTGCCCGCAAAGATAATTTTTTTTTAAGATAAAAAAAAATTAGCTGTTTGGCATTCTGGAAGAACAGGGAAAAGAGGTGAAGTTGCTCATAGCAAAGCCTGGCCAATGCCAAGGCCCTGGGCACTGGAGCCACCCTGGGGCTGAGGGCAGCAGCATCTCACAGCTATGCTGGTGAAGTTCCCTTTAGCCCGCCCATGGTCCCACCCATGATGCAAAGACTCTTGGGACAGGCTCCAGGAGGTTGGACAGACTGTCAAGGTTTAATGGGTGGCAGATGACGCTGGGAATTAAAAGAAGATAGAATGGTTTCCATGGCAGATTATCAAAGAACTCCCACATCATTCTACCCACACAGACAGGAAATAATGGAGATATTATTAAGAAACTGGCTGCCTTAGGCCACGGGCTACTGGAAGGATGGATTTTTTTTTTTTTTGTCGGTCATAGGGCTTGAACTCTGGGCCTGGGCACTGTCCCTGTGCTCTTCAGCTTAAGGCAAGCACTCTTCCACTTGAGGCACAGCGCCTCTTCTGGTTTTTTGGTGATTTATTGGAGATAAGAGTCTCATGGGGGGCTGGGAAGGTGGCTCAGTGGTAAAGCGCTTGCCTTGCATGTATGAGGCCCTGGGTTCGATTCCTCAGCACTACATAAGCAGAAAAAAAAAGCCAGAAGTGGCATTGTGGCTCAAGTGGTAGAGCGCTAGCCTTGAGCTGAAGAGCTGAGGGACAGTGCCCAGGTCCAGAGTTCAGGCCCTACAACCGGATCTCTCCCCCCCCGCCCCGCAAAAAAAAAAAAAAAGACTCTCATGGACTTTTCTGCCCAGGCTGGCTTGAACCATGAGCCTCAGATCTCAGCCTCCTGAGTAGCTAGGATTACAGGCATGAGCCACCAGTGCCCAGCTGATTTCTGTGTTCGTGTGTGTGTGTGTGTGTGTGTGTGTGTGTGTGTGTCCCCTGAGGTTTGAACTCAGAGCCTAGGCTCTGTTCTTGACCTTTTATGCTTAAGGACAATGCTGTCTCATTTGAGCCACAGCTCCACATCGGCAGGATGGATTGCTCATCCCATGTGTTCTTTTGGGGTTTGCCTTCTCCCTGTGGCCACTGGAAATGACCCACAGGTAGGACTCCCTGGGTTCACTGGGCTTCAAGAGTAGCTTTGAGGCCTTTCTAAATGTTAACTGATGAGAGGAGAGGCATATGCTGTATTAGGCAAATGGCGGCACTCAGGTATCCATGAAGAAGCCCTCACCTTAGGTTATATCTGACTGCCACAGCCAAGGGCTGGAAAGGGTGTCACTAGATCTATATATTCAGCACCCATCAAAGCAGGCTCAGCACCAAGGCACCAAAGGTACTCTCAACGGACTAAAATTGAGGGTCCAAGAGAATGCAGCCCCTCTCCAATAGAGAGCCAAGGCAGGATGTGGAAAGCTCAGAATGAACAAGTTTCCAGAGACGGAAGTGAAGTCTAACTTCATGTGGTCTTTCAGGCTTCCCCGATCTCTTTCCTTCTCTCTTCTTGAATCCTGCTCCATTCAGATCACAAAGATGCCCACAGTGCCTTCCACTTCCCTCTTACGGGTGATGCTATCATTAATCCACACCATTACTGGACCCTGCACCTAGAAAGCCTTTCTCCTGCCGGTGTAGTAACACATTGTTTAGTGACTGCCTCCTCCTCCTCAGATTCTGAGCCCCACAGAGGTAGAACTACGTATGCCATAGCCACTGTTATATCTGAGTACTTACAGAGTCCCTTGTACACAGTAAATAAGTACCTAATAACTGTCAAATAAATGATAACAGTAGCTAGCAGATGTGTCAGCACTGGGTTCTATGTGAGACCTCCAACCTTCACAAAAACTACAAGAGGGGGTAGAATGGGAGCCCCATTTTAGAGTGAAGAGCATCAAGTTTTCAGAAAGCCAAGGGACTTGCCAAGGAGTGGGGAAGACTGGAAGACACCTCTACTGAAGCCAGCGCAACATGAGGCCACCACAACTCTGGCAAGCCCACTAGGGAGAGGAGCACACATTTGCTAGTGCCGGGCCAGCAGATGCAATGGTTCCCCCTCCCCACCCCCAGCTGTGCCTCACACCTTGCGATGTCAAGGAGCCATGAGGACAGAACAGGTGTTATCTCTGTTAGTAAAAAGACAGCCGAACATGCAAACAGCCCCCTTGTGAGATGCAATGGGGCAGAGGGCGCTTGGCCACCTACCGGCATAGTGGTAATTTGCTAACGGATGGCATTTTAACCTGACTGGTTTCTGCAGCAGCAGCATTTCCAGAGTAGCCTGTGGATGCAGAAGAGAGAAAAGGCAAGAGTCAGTCATCAGTGTGCTCAGCCTTGGGAGACTAGCTACACTCAGGGGTTAAGGGTTAGCCTACAGAGAGCCCAGGGCATGAGACACGGGGAAGAAAACCAGTGGGAGATAACTCTTACTGGGGTTTCCTTTCTGTTCAACACCAACAGGACTTGCCACTCTAACACCTCTCTGGCCCATGCCTGAACCCCTGGCCCTAACATAGAAGGCACAAGTGGTGGCTGAGATTCCAGTCCTCCTTTGGGGCCCGCTGGTATCTGAAATGGGTGGGACTTCCTGAGTAGAGGGAGCACTGATGTCAGAAATGGGTGGGACTTCCTGAGTGGAGGGCCACTCCTCTGGATGTCAGGGGAAGGAGCAAGTGACTGGTACAGCTTTATAGAAAACCCATGTCTCATTAGCCTTGGGCATCAATAGCAGTAAGTAAACTACACAGTGTCTTTTCAGTGACGTCACCACGTGAGTCTCTTCCCATCTGTCTCCTCGGTTGTCTCAGCTTTTTTTTTTTGGTGCCAATTCTGGGTCTTGAACTCAGGGCCTACATGCTGTCCCAGAGCTTTTGTGCTCAAAGCTCATACTCTAACACCTGAGCCATAGCTCTACTTCCAGCTTTTTGGATAGTTAATCTGAGGTAAGAGTCTCACACGCTTTCCTGCCTGGGTTGGCTTCAAACTTCTGTCCTCAAATCTCAGCCTCCTGAGTAGGTCGGATTACAGGTGTGAGCAGAGGGCATCCGGCTCATGTCCACTTTTAAAGAAATGCTGTAGGCAGAGTGGGGCAGTGGATGGTTTAAGGAAGAGGAAGGCTAGAGAATCTGGTGGCTCATATATATATATATGTGTGTGTGTGTGTGTATATATATATTTAAAATTTTTTTTTGTCATGGGGTGTGAACTCTGGGCCTGGGCGCTGTCCCTCAGCTCTTCAGCTCAAGGCTAGTGTGTTACTATTAGAGCCACAATGCCACTTCTGGCTTTTTCTGCTTATGTGGTACTGAGGAAGCGAACCCAGGGCTTCATGCATGTGAGGCAAACACTCTACCACTGAGCCACCTTCCGTTGTTTTTAGTTCTTATCCAGCACTGGTGCTTGAACTAAAACTCATGCTCTCACTTGGCTCTTTTGCACAAGGCTGGCTTTCTACCACTTAAGCCACACCTCCACTTGCTCTTTCATGGTTAATTGGCAATAAGAGTCTCACGGACTTTTCTATCCTAGCTGGCATTGAACTGTGATCCTCAGATCTCAGCCTCCTAGCAAGCTGGGTTTACAGGTACAAGCCATGGTACGAGGCTCAATGGTTCCTTTTCTAGATTTCTTACCATCACATCACCTTTGGCCTCAAAGAGAGAGTGCAAAGCAAATTCCGAATTGGTTCCGCCACCCGGCAATGCACTTGAACAGCACAAATTCAGAAGATTCTCCACTGTGGACGAGAAATTGTATCAGAGAGAGCTTCGTGTCATGAAGAAACACAGCAAGGATCTTGACCTAGCGGCCTTCTGGGAGAAACCAGCGTGGCTGCCCAGCTCCTCCCCTGCGCAAATACCTCGTTGGTGGAGGTCTTGGTTTTCCAGCTCTGGCCAGGGCTTCCATACCAGTGTGGCCTTGTGTGTGTCTTGGCCGAGGGAAGAGACGTCCCGCAGTTCTGGGATCTCTGCTTGGAATCTCAAGCCAATGTTGATACGTCTTTAAGGACAAGAAACAAACAAACAGGGTGGTCATTAATTTGTTGGGCTAGGCTGAGGGAAACTCAAGAACGTTTGCCTGAGCTTCACAGCTTCCTGTAACTGGAGTGGAAGAGCTGGCCAGAACATGGTCAAGGGACCCAGTAAGCCAGAAAGAAAAGGGACAAATATAATAAAAGAATGACTTTTGCCATCCCTCTCAGGCCCACTTGCAACGCTGGTCAGTAGCATGGGAGACGTTGTAGCGAGATGACCCTCACATCCAAACCTTCCTACCTGAACCTTCCCCACATCTAGGTTAGAAACAAAGCAGTAATAATTACTTCTATTTAATAGGAGTCCAAGTCTAGAAAGGTTAACTTGATATGGATAACCAACAAAATGGTGTAGGAAATCAGTTATACTATCTATCTATGTACCATCATCTATCTGGCACTCTATCAGTTAGCCTTTTTCTGGGCTTACCTGGAAAAGAACCACTTTTCTCTTCCATAATACATCATGTGTCTTTGGCTATAACCTAGTCTTAATCAAGGCTAGCCTCTCTTTCACTTGAGCCATAGCTTCACTTCCAGCTTTTTGGTGGTTAATTTAATTAGAGATCAGAGTCTCACAGAATTTCTTGTTCTGACTGGCTCCAAACCATGACCTTCAAATCTCAGCCTCTTGAATAGCTAAGAAGATTACAGGCGCGACTGGTGCATGACAGTTTATCCACTCTCAGTGGCTACTGACTTCTCAAAGCTCCTGATCCCTTTCCTCAGCAGAGCTTCTATTCTCAAGAACAAATGGCTTTTGCTTACGGTTCAACATCCACAGTCTGCTCTCCAGGGCCTGGGGTGATGGTCACACTGCTGCCATCAATGCTGTCTGAAACACAAAGAACAGAGGTCACTCTGCCACTCATACGACCACTGGCGGCCTCTGCAGAGCTGGGTGGAGGCTAGGGCTAAACGGCTGAGTGCCGCTCATTTGTTCACATGAGCTGAGGAACACCAAGATCCTGGCTTCATTATGCACACTAAGTATATGATTTCAAGGCAATTACTCTTTTTTTTTTTTTT